ACCCGGAAGTTACCATGAAACGGCTAGCTACCTTAGCTGTTACCTGCCTAGCACGTCCCGGTGACACCTTTGGGAGCTAACTATTTTATTTGCAGTCATTAAATACATTTCGAATTGTAAGGGCTGTCTAATATTTGTTTAAATATATATATAGTTTTAATTTTAGAATTATATTCTAATTTTGAAGTCGAAGCCCTTGTGTTAAGCAGCGCTGTAGGGGCTAGAGGACGCAGGCTGTTCGCTTCTCGTTCTGTGAGCGGAGGAGAACGAGCGTCCCGCTCAGACTCTACTCAGCACTTTTCACTGCTTGAATTTCATACACAGTGGAATCAATGACCTCAAGTTTTCAATTAAATTATATATTATGATACAACTTGTATGTACTAAAAGGCATTTTTATGAACTACTTAGAAAAAAAATCGGGTATAGCTTCTTTAAATAAATATGGATACATGCCTAATAATGCTACCACAGATACATGTATAACCACCAAGAAACATTTGGCCCTGTGAAATTAAAAGCCAATAAAAATAAAAAGTAATCAAATAATAAACAGTATGTACAGTAGTACTTCACTCCCCACTGATATTGCTAATGACAATAATTCTGAGAAAATTGGTTCCTTTCCTTTCTTTGAGGCTCATTACATTTATTTTTGAACATGCCTAACATTTGGGAACCACTCCTGGTGCTTCTGAAACGACCCTCAGCTCTAACCGTATTGAAGAGAAAGGCATCAAGGCCGGCACACAGGCAGTGTTATAAATATTCTAATGGGACGTGCTACTTTTATTTTTGCCACTTTGGACAATGATAAATGATACACAGCATTGTGTTTTTTTGGTGTGTGTGTATTTGCATGTAACTGTAGCCCATCTGTTGTTGTGTATGCTGATATGGCATCTGCATCTGTGGGGAGCTGACGAGCACATTAGGAAGTGGCGCGCACACACACACACACATACACACACACACACACACACACACACACACACATTCTCACACACAGGGCCGCTAACAGTTCATTTGACACTGTAATTACAGCCAGTGATCACGGATCCATTCATCAGCCTCCTCCTCGGGGCGTCCACTGACCTCCACCAATATCACCGAGAGGAATGAGCTTATAGGACACGGGACAGGGCCAGTGGAGAAGGGAGAGGCTTTTTTCAGCTGTTTTCTTGTGTCACATGATTCTGTACCTGCTGCAAAAGGCTGTAATGTAGCAGCTCTCTGTCTTTCCCAAGGACATACATATTGATATAATGAATAATGTGCACATTGCATGCACAGTATTCATTAAATTCATTTAAATCTATTCTTGTAGCGCCCAAAATCACAACAGCCATCTCAAAGGAGAGTCACAGGACCGTCAACTCCTAGACAACAGACTGGGGACTAGTCCAGGCCCAGGGTGGGGAGGCCAGAGTATAGGATCCCATCAGTGCATTTATGAAACAGAGAGAGGGAGCAATGCACAGACAGCAGGTGGAGAGTCAAGGTCCATGGATGTGTGACGGGTTAAAAACAGTTTTAAAACAAACAGTTAACATTTATTTAAATTCAGTATAATCTAATCAGCTGTAATTCTCAACGGCAGACATCGAGGAGGACTTGTCTTGAGACCAAAAAACACAGAAAATGCAATAATAAGAAATGCTAAGGTCGGTAGCGGGATGACAAAGTAGACATGTAAAGTGCCTTCGCAAAATATATATGAACGTATGGTGAAATTACCCATGATATTAATATATTTGTGTTAGTTTTATTGTATCTACACATTTTTGGATTGAGCTCTTCATCTTTATTCCTGCTTTTCCTGAAAGTATGTTTTCTTGAATGAACACACAGCCATTATTATTATTGTAGTTAATACTTGGAAAAATATAATCTTGTGTATTGTGTCCTCTTTAGTGTATAATCGTATCGGCTTTATAGGGCTACCGCCACTTCCTCTTTCTTCCCTGTTTGGTGAGAACAGGTTTTTTTGCACCATGCACGTGTATGCTTTCATTATGCATTGATTCATTTTGGAGCCTGTTTTTGCAGCCAGGCAATTCACCCTCTCGCACCCTTCCTGGTGCTGACCTTACCTGCTGCTTCACCGTTACATCATTAGGGTGAGTTATGTGCCATTATTTCAGTGGCACTGCTGCTATCCGGGAAATCCACACATACACAGGTGAACAAGCAAACATGTCTCCTTTATGGACGCCGCATGCATAAGTGATGTGCGGGAGATTGTGTTGTGTTGAGCCATATCTATTTATTTTGTTCTGCTTTTACTTTAAACTTAAACTAAAAGCATCCTGTCAGAAAAGTGTTTCCTCATCCAATTAAACAGACATCTCTACAGCTGTCTTGCAATAGAAAGCTAAACCAATTTCACCATTTTAGGGTTTACCACTTTTTGTCTTTTCATACCATGAAGTATTCCTTTTTATTCTCATTATGTTTTTCTGTGATTCCAGAACCTGGCACTGACAGAAAAAATGTGTTTCTAAACTTAGAAAGAACTTATTGCAGATTTTTGTGTTCTTATGGCTCTTACTGATTCTCTCTGCAGCTGCTGGACCAGAATACATTTTGCTAATGCTTCCATACTTGTTATCATCATGTGCTGATTTGATTGATCTCCAAACCACATTAGAATACGTATAGATCCTGCTTTATAGCGTACAGTACGTGAGCAAAACCGTTTCAAAGAAAGTTGACCTGGGGCTTTTTATTTAACCCCAATTTTGGAAATTATTTTGACCCCAGTGTAAAGTGTGATTATGCATTGATAGTTTAACGTTGGCTGGCTTTACAGTTTAGGTGGTTTAGGTGATTAGTTCAAATTCATACCGTCAGATTCCTTTCACATTATTCAGCAGACAGATCAAAGAGGCGATGTGGTGATGCAAATGTGCCAATTTACTTGTAACATTGAATTGCACCAACCACGGGTCTCAAGCTGAAGTTATGATGGAGTGGGTGAAACTTAGTCTATAGTTTCAGTTGGGTATATTTCCACTATTTAAGTATCCATTAAACTGAGGTAGTCTCTATGCTAATTTTAAGCTCCCGCCTCTTTAGCACGACTGATGAAGTTTGCCTTCCCCCCCTGCCCACGCTCACATTCTGAAATGGAACAAAAACAACAGGAAAGAAAGCCTCCGTCTGAACACACACTCTCTTATCTTTTCCCCATCTCACTCCATCTCAATTACTTGTCCCTACATAAAGTCTGTCCAAATGGGTTTGCAGTTCTTGGCTGACACACATGGCTGAGGCCATCCTGATGTAGTTTCTCTCACGCTGATTGAGCAGTTTGGAGCTCTCCTACGGCTCACACTGTGTCGAAAACTCAACAAAATTCACTCTAAATAGCCCACCACAGCTTGCCAACCTTCCACTCCTGAACAGCTTTTACTCACACATCGTTGGAAAGGTCTGCAAGCTTGAGAGTGCCGTGCCCAACTCACCACTTTCATTGCTGATTTCTGATTCAAGCTGCATCTTGATACATTTACAAGTACTGTATATGTTGTTGTTATGGTCCTGTATTTAGAGGTAATCCCTACCAGAGCCCACAGAAACATGCTTGTTCAAATAGAAGGTGAATTATATGTATACCAACAAACCAAAATCAGACCAAATAAGTCTGCTCACATTTGGTTGCAGAGTCGGGAATGAGCAGGAACACAAGGGATCGTATTTTATTACTCCTCCTACATACAACAATTAACAAGGAAAAATCTTAAAATACTCAGAAGAAAAGTGACTTTTTATAAATGTTGATTGGCATCTCACCTGTTCTATGGTAATAAGATACAGTACAAGCAGACGGCCATTAGACCACAGAGAGTCGGATGCACTGGCAGGATAAGGACCAGGAGTGGAGCTAAAACCAGCCTGAGTGCTCTTACTGTACCTGTCTGTCTGCAAGATGGACACATGAAATCAGAGCCCTCTTTAAGTGGGCAGGAAGCCCACATTCTTCTGTCAGAGCAGACAGCACCCGTCCACGCTCAGACCCTTACACTACCCACAATGCACTAATAAAATGTGCCGGGCTGGGGAAGTTATTTTGGATTGCAGAATTTGCTTCATCTGCAACTTAGTTTTCTGTGATGATTTTACGCTTAATGCTTACTATTAGTCTGCGATATATCGGTTGCTACATTTGTCAACACGGCTTTTGCTCTCAGATGGATTTTTGCTTGCCTCTTTGGAGTGCTTTAATAATCCCTCCCGTAAGGCCCAACACACAAGTAAAAAGAAATGGAAATTGAATTAAAGAAGGAGCCTCTCCACCTGGATTAGTCTTTTTATCCGAGTCTGTGTTCTCCCATGCCTGACTCTATCCTCCCCGGCTGCAGCTCAAACTGCCAACCATTTGCATTTTTACTTAAATATATTTCCCCCAAATTCCTAATGCTTCAAGAAGAAGAGATCCCTACTTTGCATTTGTTTATTTGAGTTCAAAGTGCTACTCTGTCAATGCCCAGGAAGCTTGCAGGAAATGGAAGTACAGTCAAAAACATGATAGATAAATATGAAGCGGAAGACTTTGATGTTATTTATGCTGCGCTAAGCCTGCCTAGTGCTGTGGTGTAGCGTAAACAGTCAAAACCTCTTTTTATAATTGATTACTGTAGAGCTTAACTAAAAGTGGTGTTCTTATGACATTATAACCAGGCCTACAGTTAAATATATTAAATTAAAGTGATATTTCATGTCAACTGTAAAGTGTATTTGTGGTTTGCATATTTCCCATCCAACCAATTTAACTGCTGTGATCCTGCTCTTTCCTAGCACCGATCTGCAGCGTCAGCACCTCTCCACAGCTCTTGTTCTGTGCACAGTGCGACCTGAGCATGTTTTGGGCTAGTCGCTGCTGTGTGGACCATAGATTAATGGTGACATCAGGACTGTAGCTGGCGGTGGTTCAGGTTAGTGCAGCTGGCGGTAGACGTAGACGGGGCTAAACACCGGAAGAAGGGCCGTTTAGATGGATGGACTGTGACACCTGTGGGCTCTACACTCTGGACCCTCATGCTGCAGTGGGCTCTACACTCTGGACCCTCATGCTGCAGTGGGCTCTACACTCTGGACCCTCATGCAGCAGTGGGCTCTACACTCTGGACCCTCATGCAGCAGTGGGCTCTACACTCTGGACCCTCATGCAGCTGTGGGCTCTACACTCTGGACCCTCATGCTGCAGTGGGCTCTACATTCTGGACCCTCATGCAGCTGTGGGCTCTACACTCTGGACCCTCATGCTGCAGTGGGCTCTACACTCTGGACCCTCATGCAGCTGTGGGCTCTACACTCTGGACCCTCATGCAGCAGTAGGCTCTACACTCTGGACCCTCATGCTGCAGTGGGCTCTACACTCTGGACCCTCATGCAGCTGTGGGCTCTACACTCTGGACCCTCATGCTGCAGTGGGCTCTACACTCTGGACCCTCATGCTGCAGTGGGCTCTACACTCTGGACCCTCATGCAGCAGTGGGCTCTACACTCTGGACCCTCATGCAGCAGTGGGCTCTACACTCTGGACCCTCATGCAGCTGTGGGCTCTACACTCTGGACCCTCATGCTGCAGTGGGCTCTACACTCTGGACCCTCATGCAGCTGTGGGCTCTACACTCTGGACCCTCATGCTGCAGTGGGCTCTACACTCTGGACCCTCATGCAGCTGTGGGCTCTACACTCTGGACCCTCATGCAGCTGTGGGCTCTACACTCTGGACCCTCATGCTGCAGTGGGCTCTACACTCTGGACCCTCATGCAGCTGTGGGCTCTACACTCTGGACCCTCATGCAGCAGTGGGTTCCACACAGCGCTGTGGAATGTTACGGTCGTGTTTGTTGTTTGACCCCAAAGCAGAGACAGATACTGAGCTTGATTCAAAATGGATTTACTCAACAAGAAACAAAAAACTTGACTGAAAGTAGGCAGAGGAGACTAGGCTGACTGGTCAGAAAAAGCAGACCTGAACACATGTAGGACACACACAAAAAGTAAAAATGCAGAAAGACAAAACTTACACTGACGCAGAGCAGAGTGGACCCCATCCAGCACTGGGCTCCGTGTACTGTGGCCCCTCAGGCAGCAGTTGGAGATGATGTTGGAGATGCAGTGTTAAGTCATTGTGTTGAATGGTTGTCTTGGCTTTTAAAGGATATTGTGTTGATTATTCTTTTGATTAATTGAATAGTTGTTGATATCTGACCAAAACAAGTGATGTCCCTGGAGATCATGTTTCCTGTTACACATTGGATTGTTTTATTTAACATTTAAATTTAATTCTGCACTCATTATTGAATTGGGCGGCACGGCGGCTGAGTGGATAGCACTCTCGCTTCTCAGCAAGAAGGTCCTGCGTTCGAACCCCCGTTGGAGCAAGGCCTTTCTGAGTGGAGTTTGCATGTTCTCCCCGTGTCTGCGTAGGTTTCCTCTGGGTACTCCGGTTTCCCCTACCACTGAAAACATGCACAATAGGTATGAATTTAATGAGTAAGTGAATGGATGGTGTTGATTGGGGGCTTTGATTCGCCAGTGTGTTCGGCGACTCGCTTCCGTCATTACCGTGTGTGGAATGCTTTGGGTGACCTTGGTCTGTACAAATATGCTATATAAATACACATTACTTACTTACTTAATATCTCAGTCTTAAAACCTCTTTCTAATCACATGTTCATATTTCCAGTTATTATATCCAGATACTGCTCCATATTATAATATTGCAGTGGCTGATGAAATGCCTAAAGAGAGTCAGAGATTGAATCGGAACCATTGTTGCAGGAAGGAGTATTCTAAACAGTATCAACTTTAAAAACAATTTGAGGGCAGAAATTTCAATGAGATCAAGTGCTGTGTGAACTCATGGACAAGCACTTTGTGGAGTAAATACTATATTTTATTGCATAAAGGGAATTCACATTGTTCCCTGTTCCATTGCCGTCTCTTGCCCCCATATGCCTTACCTAGAATATGCACATGCTCACTTGAGATTATTTAATTGCCAGTTTAATTTGATGCCCATAGCTCCGCCTGCCAGCCACATGAATGAATCCATAAAGGCCAAAGTGTGCGTGTTTTATTAATGAAAGACATGGAGCACACATGCCTTAGGCGCAGTCTCTTGGGCGACCAATTAGACTGCAGCAACATCCCTAATTGTGCCTAAACAAACCCTGTTTCATTAGGCCATCCACTTTTATTTCAGTTTGACCACCTCATTAGTATTGTTTGCAAACATTCTCGTCCTTAAAATATTGTGAACTTTATTAAATTATTATCAGGAAGCTCTTTTCTGATGAAGCATGTACATCTGCAATCCATGGAGATAGAGGGCCACTTTTTTATTTCTCTTTTCATGATTAATTCACAATTTCATTTTTGCTCATATTGATGAGATAAATAGATAATACGTTTTACTACTCTTTTTCAGACTACAGAACAAAAGGCTTTTAAAGCAGATTTAGTTGTGTTCTGGATCTAATGGCAAACTCACTATGAAAAGTCAGAGGACAGACATTCGATAGTGGACTTATGAAAAGCCTTTAGTATCATATCATGTTAGTATCAATCAATGACTTTAAACGTAGGAGTGCCAAGGTAATGAGCTTAGGCTGAATCTATCTTCTTCAATTTCCTAAGGACTTCATTTTTTTTCCCTTGAACTTTTCATGTTTTTGTGTTTCATGTTTCATATTCTTTGCTTTCTCTTTTGGTCTGTAACATTATCGTTTCTGTCTGTGCTAAGATTGTGAATGAAAGAATAAAGACAGTACCACTATCCTTCTCTCTAGAAAACATACATGTTGTCTATATAGATGTACCAACTAATCTGACCATTTATTTGTCTGTTCTAAAGCATTCATGTGAGAAGATCCGAACAGTAAATTCACCTACTTCAGGACATTCCTGTTCCTATAGAAAAAAAGATACATGGTGCAAAATGTATTATATTTCTTGCTTATTTGTTATTACGGATAAGAGTAGTTCATATTCTTATGAAGTCCACCCAAAAGACAAACAGTACAGAGAAAGGCATATGAATGTATTCTGTTCCCCAAAACGATTAAATTCCTCATGATAATACTTTTCCCAAAACATTAAATATATTTCCTTCCACACAGACAAGACCATATCTTTTATGGCTAATTGCCCCAATGAGTGATGTAAAACGTAAAGCCTTCTCATTTTCCACTCGGAAGATAGGATCTCGGAGAGTGGAAGGCTCGTGGAATATTAATGTATTTCCTCTACATTTTTCTTTTTGCTGGACCAGTGGGATCTCCAACATGGCTCGTGTGCCCGAGAGATGTCTATCCGGCTTTAGTTCACTCAAACACATACACATAGAGTGAGACGAGTGGAGATTGCAGCAGAGCTGATCAGCAGTGTGTGGAGGCCATTCCAATGGGACTAATTAAAGGGATGGAACAGACTGCACTGCTCAGTGGAGACCACCAGCCTTCCTCCAGCTCTCTCTTCTCTCCAAGTCTGTAATCCAATCCTACACCATCCAGGGTTACACCATCCAACACTGTGATCTGAGAGTGATTCAAACCGGTGCAAATGATCAGAAAAGTGTAGGATGAAGGGGAAAAAATGTGCTTATTCCCAAGGTGAAATAGAGCCGCGTTTAGTCACTGGCCAGAACAGTCTGAGGAGAGTTTTTCTGTTTAAACTCTGTCTGTGAAGCTGAGTCATGTCTTGATTGGAATTTCCTTCTTCTATACTTCAGTAACATGTTATTTCGGAATTAAAGATTCATTTGAATTCTGATTCAGCGAAAGGTGTTTATCTTTAGAGTAATATTTACTGATAATCATTTTACATTTTATTTGTGGAAAATGGCTCCAGTTTGGCCTCTCACCGTATGTTTTGTTTTCTTATTTTTCATTTTACCTTTATTTAACCAGAAATTCCAGAAAATGAGATTTAGAATCTCTTTTGGTCCGGCTAAGGTAATAGCCAACACAACACAGATATTTACAAAGACAAATTAAATTAATCTCTCAAGAAAACATGAGAGAAAAATAACCCTCTTCTTAGAAGGTTATTTTTGTAGTCAATTTTATAGCTAAATATGGCCTTACTTTAATGCAAGGTTTATTCTGTTAAATTCATTCTTGTATAGCCCTAAATCACAGCAGTAGTTTTTCTGGAGGACACAACTGTTGAATTTGCCGACACAGATCAGAGAATCAAACAGTTAAAACACAATGATAAAAAAAGAAAACACATAGAGCCATTGAAAGCAAAGGAAGGTTTCTCACCCATCATCTGTACTTCTGAGCAGGTTTTCCCGAGGTTTTGTCCTTAATCCAAAGAACTTTTCCAAGGGAATGAAATCTCAGACTGCGGTCTTTCCCTTTGACTAATCCCTGTACAACTGAGATCTTATTTACCATTCTGATCATCTCACTGTTTTACCCTCGATGTCAGAAAAAAGAGATAATTACACAACTGGTTTTACCCTGGTCATTTCCCTCCCACCTCAAACCACTAACTACACTTTTAACTGTCTCTGTAGATTCATCCTCAAATGGCGTGTCACACACATCACTGCACTCTTTACGAAAACCTTCACTGGCTTCAACCTCACAATAGAGGCCACCATCACTAGGTGTGCTTATTATTTAAATGTATTTATATTAGTTGTCCGCAATTTTTATAACACGTTTTTGTCTCTCTCATATTTTCTCATATTTTCTGCTCCGAGAGTTTGCAAAGAAGTTGGATGTAGATCATTTCATTACAAGGTTCCATCAGACTGGAATAAACTCCCCACATCCATACGATCCATTATGTCTTTTGGTTTATTTAAGTTTGAGTTATTTAGGTTCCTGAAAACTCCTTGTTAATGTCACTAATGTTCTGTATTCTGTATGTATGTCATTATTGTCAATAGTTTGGCTTTGTCTCTCTCCAAATGTAAAATTTTAGCAGAGGGGAGGAGTGGCGTGTCTCAGCTCATGTGAAACAAGTTGATCTGTGCTCCTCAGCCTGTGAGCCCGCCTCCCCCCACCTGCACGGTGACGTACCAATCTCAAATAAACTTTTTCCAACAATGGCCTATGTCCTCCATCCAGAATCAGACCCTAATTATTTAGTTCACAGTGACATACGGCGAGTTAGTTGCATTGTACTCACAGACGAGGCTCCTGTTAGCGTCTTTTATGTTGGGAATTACACCAGGTTTCCAGATCAGCTTTTGAGTAGGTCCCGTTTCCAGGCAACCGTATAGTTACTAGTTGGAACAGTATTTGGTGGTGTCACCGGCACTCGCACATGACTTTGGCGCAGATTTCAGACTCGCGTATTCAAGGCAGATCCCCATGGACAAAGTTGATACCCATTCGCCTCATTCTCCGTCTTCGGGCAAAATACTGTCGTCATTAATTAACACCCCAAAACAAATTTTCTCCAAGTAAAAAATAAAAAAAAGCAAAATCTTTCACTGTGCTTCCACTGAACAAGGCTGTGTGGCATAAGACTTAAACACTGTCATTAGTAAATCCCCTTTGAGGGCCCTTGTTGTAAATGTACTATGTGTCATTCATTAGTTTAAACATTGCACCTATGACAGCCACCACTTATGTCAACAAAGAGAGCTGCAGTTCCCACTCTTCCTTTCACTCTTGTTAATTCCCGTGATCGCAGCCACTCGCAGCAGCCGCTATAATGAAGTGGCACTGCATCATCACAAACCGCGCATCCAGTTTAAATGAGCCAAAGAAGAGCCTGTGTCCTATTATTCACTAGCATCCAAACATATGGACACAGTAATGAATGCAGGAAGTCAATGAGACAACACCCCAAGAGCGTGTGCTGCAGTAAACCGTGTGTAACGTCATCATGAGCGCTGATGAGGCTCGGGCCAACGTTAAAGAAGAAAATATCTATGATTATGTCAAAACACAAATTGTGCCATTGTTCTTGTGGAAGTAATGAAACCACTGTAAGATGTTAAGATGTTACATTACATTGAATAATGAATATTATGAATGTCTTGTATTGTTATAGACGATATAAAACATTCAATATCATCTTTGCTTTAATTACTTGACAAAACGTAAGGCAAGGCAAGGCAAGTTTATTTGTTCTGCACAGTTCATGCACAAGGCGAAGTGCATAAAAAAACAAAAATGTATTTTTTTACTGTCAATGTCAGCTTTATTTGTATAGCACATTTACAGCTGTAAAAAAAAAAATAACATTTTGAATAACTGATTTTATTGATCCACTGAATGAAAAAATAAGGAAACATGCACACAAGTATTACTAGTAATTGTACATTTCAATATCGATCTTACTCAATCTCAGTCCGTTAAGACAGGGGTGGGGGTTGCACTTTAATTATTAACTTATACTTGAAATAGTATGTAGGTTGTATGTGGGTTGTCGAGGTATCTACCTTCGCCCCGCTACTGCCGCCCCTTAAATGGGCCCTTAAATGGGCGGCAGTAGCTCAGTTGGTAGAGCGTTGGCCTTTGAGCCAGAAGGTCTTGGGTTCAAGACCCGCTCAAGCCTTTCACCATCGACTCCCACTGACTACTGTTGTTGTGTCCTTGGCAAGACACTTAACCTCTGGGAACACCAGCCACAGTGGGGCGGCTGCAGCTGTAAAGTGCCAAACTGCCGTTGTGTCCTTAGGCAAGACACTTCACCCCCATTGCCTAGAATGAGTCTGGTGTGTGTATGAATGGTTGGTGGTGGTCGGAGGGGCCGATGGCGCATACTGGTTGCCTCGCTTCTGTCAGTGTGCCCCAGGGCAACTGTGGCTACAGTAGTAGTTTATCACCACCGTGTATGGAGTGAATGAATAATGACATGTGAAGCGTCTTTGAGTGTCCAAAAAAGCGCTATATAAAACTGATGCATTATTATTATTATTATTATTCGACTGGTTTTCGTCCTGGTTGCGGAACACTGGACCAGCTCTATACTCTCCATCGGACACTCGAGGGTTCATGGGAGTTCGCCCAACCTGTCCACATTAGCTTTCTAGATCTGGAGAAGGCGTTCGACCGTGTTCCCCGGGGTGTCCTTTGAGGGGTTTTCCGGGAGTACGGGGTCCTCTGCTGAGGGCCGTCCGGTCCCTGTATGACCGGAGCCAGAGCTGTGTTCGCATTGCCGGCAGTAAGTCAGACCTGTTCCCGGTGCATGTTGCCCTCCGCCAAGGCTGCCCTTTGTCACCGGTTCTGTTCACTGTCTTTATGGACGGAATTTCTAGGCGCAGCCATGGGCCGAAGGGGGTCCGGTTCGGAAATAACAGGATTTCATCTCTGCTGTTTGCGGACAATGTTGCCCTGTTGACTCCAACGAACCAGGACTTGCAACATGAACTGGGACAGTTTGCAGCCGAGTGTGAAGCGGCTGGGATGAGAATCAGCACCTCCAAATCCGAGGTCATGGTGCTCGACCGGAAAAAGGTGCCTTGCCCTCTCCGGGTGGGTGGAGAGGTCCTTCCTCAAGTGGAGGAGTTCAAGTATCTCGGGGTCTTGTTCATGAGTGAGGGAAGGATGGAGCGTGAGATTGACAGGCGGATCAGTGCAGCAGTGATGCGGCCGCTGTGGTAAAGAGGGAGTAAGTAAGTAAGTAAGTAATGTTTATTTATATAACGCATTTTACAGACCAAGGTCACCCAAAGCGCTTTACAATGTTCAAAGTTCAGATATTGCTCCAATCATTCCACACACGGAGATGACGGAAGCGAGTCGCCAAACACACTGGCGCATCAGCCCCCAATCAACACCATCCATTCACTCTCTCATTTCATACATTCATACCTATTGTGCATGTTTTTAGTGGTAGGGGAAACCGGAGCACCCGGAGGAAACCTACGCAGACACAGGGAGAACATGCAAACTCCACTCAGAAAGGCCCTGGTCCAACCGGGATTTGAACCCAGGACCTTCTAGATGAGAGGCAAGAGTGCTATCCACTCAGCCACCGTGCCGATCAGGGAGCTGATCCGAAAGGCCAAGCTCTCAATTTACCGGTCAATCTTCGTTCCCTCCCTCACCTATGGTCATGAGCTTTGGGTAATCGCGGATACAAGCGGTCAAAATGAGCTTCCTCCGCAGAGTGGCTGGGCGCTCCCTTAGAGATAGGGTGAGGAGCTCAGTCACACGGGAGGAGCTCGGAGTAGAGCCGCTGCTTCTCCACGTCCAGGGGAACCAGTTGAGGTGGCTCGGGCATCTGTTCCGGATGCCTCCTGGACGCCTCCCTGGGGAGGTGTTCTGGGCATGTACCACCTGGAGGAGGCCCCGGGGAAGACCCAGGACACGCTGGAGGGACTATGTCTCTCAGCTGGCCTGGGAACGCCTTGGGGTCCCCCCGGACGAGCTGGAGGAAGTGTGTGTGGACAGGGAAGTCTGGGCGTCTCTGCTTAGACTGCTGCCCCCGCGACCCGGCAACGGATTAAGCAGAAGAAAATCGATGGATGGATGGATTAAAATAGTAACGTAAATGTCAGCAGAACTATTTCTAACTCAGGTATGACTAGTTAATTCCTTGTGAGTATTATCATCATATTGTCTGGAATTTGCTCTGCTGTGAGTTCTACGTCTAAAAATGCCAGGCTCCGGTGGAGATAGAGGATGAGTCACCGCCACAGCTCTAACGGCTCTGGGTTAAAATTTCTCACTGTTCCTCGTGGCATAACAGCCTTGCACTTAATCACAAACACATGGAAGATCATATGAAGTCACTTGTCATTTCCACCGGATGTAGCTCTAAATGTTGTCACCCCCAGCAACAGGGGGTATTGTAATTGGATGTGTGTGTGTGTGTGTGTGTTTGTCTCTAGGAAGGAATGTGCAAAGACTACTGGATCGACTGAGCTAAATTTGTGTTGGTTGATGGGATGTGATGTGTGAATTTTGAGACGAACATGGTATTGGAGTGCATGTTAGTTGTTATTGATCTAAACACAGCATTGTTAGCCTATATACAGTATAAGCAACACCAAAACAATAAGAGGTGAGCAGTGACCAATGCCTGTGACTAGTTTGGGCGGCATGGTGGCTGAGTGGATAGCATGCTCTCGCTTCACAGCAAGGTCGGTCCTGGGTCCGAATCACGGTCGGGCCTTTCTGAGTGGAGTTTGCATGTTCTCCCTGTAGGGCTGGGCGATTAATCGATTTTAATCATTAATTCGAGTTTTACGTTTAGGGCGATTTCTTTTTTTAAAATTCGATTTTTATTTTCTCCAGCGCAGAACTACAGCGCTAACGCGCTAACCGCGGGTCTATGGTGTTGAGCAGTCATTTTGAAGCTAACCTAATGCTAACAGTCTCCCTCTGGCCTGATGCTCGCTCTCACAGTTGGTGCTGTTGCAATAACACTTCAAACGTTCAAGAATCAGACTTTATTTAAATCGCCAGAACACACACACACACGCACGCAGGCTCCGGTCGCCATGTTTGTACGCCATGTTCGTACGCCACATCTTTCACGCTCTCTCACGCTCGTTATTCCAAAGCGCACTCCCGTGTCCGTGGCGCGCACACACTCGTGTCCCACTGAGCCGCTGCACTTTGGGGAAAGACACGTCTCACACATTGCTCTCATTGCTCTGATACAAACAACGTGTTCCCCGCTGTCTGTTAGCTACAGTAGCTGTTAGCTACAGTAGATGCTACAGTAGCTGTTAGCTACAGTAGATGCTACAGTAGCTGTTAGCTACAGTAGCTGCTACAGTAGCTGTTAGCTACAGTAGCTGCTACAGTAGCTGTTAGCTACAGTAGCTGCTACAGTAGCTGTTAGCTACAGTAGCTGCTACAGTAGCTGTTAGCTACAGTAGCTGCTACAGTAGCTGTTAGCTACAGTAGCTGCTACAGTAGCTGTTAGCTACAGTAGATGCTACAGTAGCTGTTAGCTACAGTAGCTGCTACAGTAGCTGTTAGCTACAGTAGCTGCTACAGTAGCTGTTAGCTACAGTAGCTGCTACAGTAGCTGTTAGCTACAGTAGCTGCTACAGTAGCTGTTAGCTACAGTAGCTGTTAGCTACAGCATCAGAATGTAAACAGGAAGCTCGCACAATGCGGGAGTCACTGAAGTTAGTATTAGCGCCACCAGCTGGACCGAGCGTTGTACTACAGCACAGTTACTCAGGCACAGTTGAAAGAACAAGCATGAAAACCCGAGGAGGCTTTTGGAAAATACTGTCTGTTACAACATTTCTATTTTGAGTAATCAGTTTTAAAAATGTGATATTTCATGTAAATAATGCATGTGTTTAATAGGATTGATATATTTGCGATGGGCCTTGTTTGTGTGATTTAAGTTATTTTGAAGGTGCATAGTGTCATTGTAAGTGAAGTTATTATAAAACTGTTAAGCTACATTTTCACTGTTTACAATGGCAGAGCCATCTCGTTTACAAGCATGTTTTAATTCCTGTTACACTTATGCTCCATGGGGATTTAGATTAAACTGCATAAAGGAAAATCTATTTCTTTGTCAGTTGTAGTTTGTTTTTAAATAGAAAAAAATAAATCGATTAAAATCGAAAATCGGATTTGGTGTGAAAAAATCGGAGATTTTTTTTTTTTGCCATATCGCCCAGCCCTATCTCCCTGTGTCCGCATAGATTTCCTCTGGTTCCTCCTGTTTCCCTTACCATTAAAAACATGACATGTGCCTCCTGTATCAGAATCAAAATTATTTTATTGCCATGGGAGTAACAAGAAGTCACAAACTAGGAAATTGCTTCGGCGACCTCGCTCCCATCTCTGTGTGGAGTGAGAGACAAATGC